AGAGAGAGAGAGCAAAAACTTACTGTTATGGCCTGTAAGACAATGCGTGGATTTTCTGAATTTAGTCTCCTGGCAATTGACTTGAGGCAGTCTCTAGGGCCTGAGCTGCTCTCCTTCACACGATCACATATGTCCATTATCTGCCCCCAATCCTCACTGATATTTTTCTCACTGGTTGCCCGCTCTGAAAAGATAAAGAGAGAAAAAATAGATCAGGTGATGTGAATGAGAAGAATCAGACAGAGGGAGGAAGACTGGAATCTGAAACCTTATGAGTAACAAGGGCCTAACTGACAAATTAATTTTGTCTCATAAACAGGTTTGATGACATCTGCTCCAGTGCCCCTTTGGAATAAGTCAAGCATTTGGAGCCGTGTGATAGTGTCAGAATGGCCAATGGTCTTCCTTAGGCTCCTGTCCAACTTATCCCTTAAAGTATACGCTGTCTCTCTCATGCATTCATCCATTCTCTCTCTTCCTCTCTTTTTTTATTCTCTTTCTTTCCCTTTCAGTCTTTCCATCACTCTCATCCTTTCTTTCTTTTCATTCATTCATTGATTTTCTCTTTTTTTCTCTCTCCCTCTCATTGATCTTTCTCTCTCTTCCCTTCTTTTTCTTCTCATTCATTCATTCATTTTCTCTATGGCTTCTTTCTCTACTACTGCATCATCTGAGAATTCTTTCACAAATGAAAAGTTTCACCCTAAACTTGCTTTGATGAACTTCATTCACTAAATATCAGTTAATGTTTGTGAAAATTTCCTTTAAAAATTGAGCAAACAAGAATATTAGGCATCTCTACATCAAACTTAACAGTAGCATCAAATAACTCCCCTTACTTTCCCAGAAATCAACTTTGGTGCTGTAAATAGGCACACTCGTGAATAACTTATATCCATTTATATATCTATAGATTTATAAATACTTATATATTTGTATATATCTACATTTATATATCCATATCTTTATATATATTTATATATATTCGTGTGTGTGTGTGTGTGTGTGTGTGTGTGTGTGTGTGTGTGTGTGTGTGTGTGGTGTGTGTGTGTGTGTGTGTGTGTGTGTGTGTGTGTGTGTGTGTGTGTGTGTGTGCACGCATGTGTGCATGTGGGTGTGCGTGTGTTAGATATTTAGAATACCTTCACATGACTAATCACAATGATACTGATACCAATGATTCCTCTCACCCTCTACCCCTAACATCTACAATATATTTGGAAGAGTAAAATGTGAACAGTTTGTTTGTTTGACTGATAATGCAGGCTTTTTCTTACAATCATTACTTCATATTGCCCCCTTTCTGCTGCAATACCATCTGCAGCTTTTTTGGCATATATTCAGCAAGATTGTCAAATTAGGAGACTTCCATATGAACCGTTCGCTTCTTCAGTTCCTCCAGCATATCTCTGATATTGTTTGGTCTGGCCTGCACTTCGTTCTTCATGATGTTCCAAGCGTTTTTCATAGGGTTCAGATGAGGCGAGTTATCAGGCTGCTTTAATACATTACTTCCACTGTCATTTAGAAACTTTAATTAAACTCGGCTGCAATAATGCACTGCATTATTGCAGCCGAGTCCCTTTCTAAAACCAAACTGAGTCTCTGGAAGAAACGGTCTCAAATGTATAGAAAGACATTTGACCTGCTATCATTAAAAAACCTTAGATAAAATTGGTGAAATTGAAATGGGCCTATATTCAGTTGATGACTATAGTGGGCCCTTGGGAATTGGGGTAACATTACCAAAGTACCAGCACTCTGAAAATTACCGTTTACAAACTAAAAGGTGTAGGATTATGACTAATTTAGGAGATATTGGCCATTCACTCTTTTTAAAATCAAAGGAAACAAGTCATGAAAGAAGAAGTTAGTTCAATATCTTCTAAACTTTGTTTTGAATTAAAACATTCTGTTAACAAGGTAGCTTTCTCAATCAGAATATATGTACCACTACTATCAGGTTTCATTAAAGGAGGAATGGAGGACTCGAAACCAAACAAAGATGTTTTAGGTGCTGACCACCATTTATGAGGCTGTGAGGCTTCTGAGAGAACTGCTTTCAAATGAGCATTATATTCAGATTTGGCCTTCTTATAAATATTAGTTGCTGTATTTCACATAGCAACATCATTCTCCCAACAAGGATGAGTACGGTTAGCAGACCAGAGATCATAGGCAGCAGGTTTGTCCCTATGAGCCTGGTGACACTGATCATTAAACTATGCTTTATCACGTGAACAAGATTCAAGAGTTTTGCTAGGTACAAATGTTTTTATGGTGTCCAACAATAACCAGTTCAGAGCTTTAACAGGACAAGGAGCATTATATACATTTCTAAAAAAATGCTATCAAAAGCATGGTAGATACTATCCCAATTAATTCTAGACTTTAATCCACTAACGACAGGTGTCCCACATATGAGACACCCAAAAAAATAAACATTGCCAGGCTTCCCGCCAGTGTGACGCTGTATCTGGGCTCGTGCTCCGATGAAGCAGTGGGCCGCGGCCAACGGGCGGGAAGAGTCCGGGGCAGCCCCAGCCGACTATTTTGTAGCCGCCCAGAATCTTTTACTTTCGACTTCAAAATATACCGGCGTTAATGGGTTAAGAAGACTTGTCTAGTTAGAGTAAAATCTGGTATAGGAAAGTCCAGCTGGATCTTATATGCCGGACTACAGTGGTCATAAGAACCTGTTGGTGTGATATAGTTACATCAATTACCCCTCTCAGATATATAAGATACAAGATCCAAAAGATTACCACTCCTGTGAATTGCACCACAGACTATCTGCTCACACTAAACTACATCTGTGAAATCTAAGGCAGAAAAGCCATGTCCGACAGTTGGGAAGAGAGAATTGAGCCAGTCTTGGTGGTGGGTATTAAAATCACCTATGAATATAAAGCATGATTTACTATCATTCTCTTGAATAGAAATGTATGAAGTCCACAAACAATCATAAATGCTGTCATCAGAGTTGGAACTTATAGAAAGACTAAAAACAACTTTACATTCTCACAACCATGTATTCATGACAACAACATCCATACTTCAAAAAACTACTAGCATTAAAACTAACCCGGTAAATGTTTACAATACGACCGCATTCGTCAGAGATGAAGTCTCCGACTCCTGCCAACAATGTTGGAGGATCCCGTGGAGAATCCGGGGTTGGGGGTGATTTCGTTCCTACCATGCATTTTAAAAGGCAAAATAATATGGGAAATTGAAAATCCAAGCCAAAGATAGTATTTCAGATGACAAAGAAAGTGGATAATGTAAAAACCCAAGAGAAGATTCGGCCACGGATGATTCGACACGGTGCATGAACGAACGAAAGAGTGAACCGCATCTTAAATGCACGAACTACTAGTAGGATCACCATATGAACCAAAAAAAAAATCCTAATCCGGGGGCTATGCCCCCAGACCCCCTTCCAATTGCCAAATTTCCCTACTGGAGGCTTCACTCCCGGATCCCCTCCCGATTGCTGTATTTCCCAACCGGTGCTTTTAAATCGCAACTGACTACATTTAGAATGACAAAATGAGTTTACCTTAAAGATGAGGGGACGATTTCAGTGAGAGATCGATTTCACAGAAAAGTTGGAAAAAAATCGGAAACGCAAGTAACACTTTAAACAACCTTCACCTTTGGAACAAACAACGAGAACTGTGAAAACAGAAATGTCAAATTTGCCAGGAGAGGGCAGCGATGCACAAGTATGGATGTACTGTGTATTTCTAATGAAACTATGGTACGTATATGGTAAAATCGATCACATCATGTATTTAAGGAACGATCACTTGATAAATGCATTTTTTATCAAAACTTCATATGCATTAAAATACAGAAATACACTTTCCTACAGTGCACTTATAAGAAATTTGCCATGATGTCATGAGCTACATGCACCCAAACAGTTCATGTTGGGTTCCCACACAGCTAAATGGATCGCTATGATGTGAGGAGGGCTGGACTTCGTCGCTGTAGGCGCATAGGGACTTAGCCTCCGCACAGCATTCTGCACACCACATTTTCATCGTTTAAGTCAAATAGGTTTGCATCTGCAAATCAAGTTTGATAGCAATGGAAGTAGTTTTCATCATCTATAATGCTTTTAGGTGAAGGACCAGGGCACAGATTCTAAACAAGTCCTCAATGGCAGCAGCCAAAATTCCTAAATTTTGATCTCATACAAATATTGTACAAAGTTAACAAAGTTTCTGCTAGAGATCGTTCAGCATTTTACAGAATTTATTCTTAGTGTTCTGTCTGTTAATGAATGAATGAATTGCTCAGGCTGCATCTTACCAGATCTTTAGGAAAACCATTTTTATAGCAGACAGCAGACGGGTCCTTTACTACTTCAAGCATATGCATTAAATATGAATCGTAAGTGTGGGCATTACCTTTTCCTTTTGCAATTTCCAAAATTGTTGAAGCCAATATTTTTGGTATCTTCATCATTATCAGTACTATGTAAACATTCCTAAAAACTGATATCACTAACCATATGTAATCTTTCACAGGAAATGTTTGTGGCAGTGATCTGATCCTAACATCACACATCACCAAAGGAATTATTTAGAAAGTTAAAGCTAAAGGTCACACTAGTCTTCTGTCTTGGGATCCCTAGACAGCCTCGCTGAAATCCGGCCAGCTACAGTTTTTGATTGGTCAACTAACCTGGCTTCGGCGAGGCTGTCAAGGGATCCTAGGACAGAGAAGACTTGTGTGACCTAAGCTTTACTAACAAACAGTAAACAAACAATGAATGGCTCAAGAAACAATATATATTTTACTGGAAATAATTGTAGACTTTCTGATGCAGGATCATTAGTGAATAATGTAGTTAGGACTTAGTAAACAGCACAATTACTTAGACAATTATCTAGGCATTTAATTCTTACTTAATTATCCCTGTCCTTGACCCACGTATTAATTTCACACTATTTTTCTCAAGATTCTGCATTATTTCCATTGGTGTAAACATAGAAATGGTACAGTAGTATCAGGATATCAAATTCTAGTTTATCTGCAGGGAAATTAGCCGATATTAGCAGTAAATGACTCATCCTTACGTGACCAAGTTAAAAGTAAGGCGGAAATGGACAATACGTTCATTTTTCCTATTTAACAACCACAGCTATTAATTTCTTCTTCTGAATTTATATAAGTCTATTCAAAACTCACCGACAAACTGGTCGAAAGGCGAGGAATTGGAAAATATCCCCATTTTTGGCCGATTTTTGAAGAAATTGTGACAGAAATTGAGGTTTTGTTATGATCAAGTGACTGTGAGAAGGACGACTACATCCGATTGCGTTCGAGGGGATTTGAAGAAAATCGTTTCTTACACATTGTTTTTTCGTTAGACATTTTCCAAAAAATTGATATCTATCTTTTAATATACTTAACATTTTTATCATTGCTTTGATGATACTTCATATCGTCATTTCATTTGAATGTATAGCATAAGTAGAAGTCGCCTACAACAGATACAAACGATTTTTCATACAGCAAAGGAGAAGAAAATCCACTTGTGAAAAAACCTTTGTGACAGATACCTTTATTTTAGGAAAAAATACAATTTAATCTATATTAATATGTTGGAAATATACATAATTTTCTTATATGATATATAAGACCCTATTTGTCTCGTAATTAGCTCTGTTTTCTGTCCTAAGTGACAAGAAAACAAACCGAGCGACTCAATCATGTTTCCATGACATTGAACTCTTTATACCAAAGCTTAAATATTTAATTGACAAAATGTTTTATAGATGAATATCACATGGCCAGATAAAAATATTTTGATATTGCATCTCAAACTATCAATTCTTAAGAACAGATCAAACGATATCTAATATTACCCCATAATGTGCAACAGAAAGATGCAATATCAAGCTATGTGTTTCTCCATGAATTCTAGGCGATTTAACTTCGCCACACTGACCTCCAGTACTTTCAGACTTTTTCCATTATAAAAAGATACATGCCCTGAATGCTAAACCTTTCATTTAATTCTTTTAAGTAAACAGCAGGCTCAGGATGCACTGGGAAAAGCATCAGTTCCAAGCTAAATAACGATCGGTACGATATGAGGTTGACCTGAGATCCCGACGTGATACTCAGGCTCTCCTGGGATCGGGACGTCACGCTGAATTGACCTAAGGTCAAGACTTCATATTCAAACCAGTTTGAATAATGACGTCATACTTAGTCAAGTTTTAGATAGTCATATCCAAGTTGGCTTGGGACTGTAACGTCAGGATCATGCGTCCAGAAATGTAGATTTTCCCAAATGATTAATAGCCTGATAAAGTTTTCAAAATGAAGCTTTATCTATAATTTCTTGTATCGACAATGAAGCAGAGGATTATCAGCAAAAAGACTTTGTTAGGCGAAGCCGTACATCGATATCTTAACCCGGCTTGAAAAGCGAGAGTCGCCAAAATGCCATCGTCTTGCTTTCGAGAGTGCAGGTAGAACGTCGTGGACCGCCAAGTGGGATTCTATGATTATTAGTGATATTTAATGGCTTTGGAATAACTTCTTTTCTCTACTAATGACCCTCCGAGGCGCCGAGATATCGTGAAAGCCTAGACTGACAAGCCAGCGCTGTGACATGCAGTGAACAGACGAGACCACAGCGCCAAGAGGAAACTCTGATCTGTTTATAGGCATTTGAGTGATGTTTTTCCCATGACATTTATTAATTTCTATCGATGCAGTTAAATAGGTCACTTTTGAAAGCAGTTGACATGCCAGATAGTACAGACATTAATGGTGTGCACGAGTAATGAGGGTTGCAGTAAAAATATATATTGTTTCAGTGTGGGTGGTACACATTGGAAAAAAATATCTCATGATATTTTTATCCACTTTCCCTCATCGATGGACAGGCTAAGGAACCCAGTATAACCCAATCAGATTAACCCTAATCTATTCAGCTGATCAGAAAACTAACCAAACCTTTCCCAAATGTGTTCAAACCATGTCTAGTTCAAATCTAACTCTATCTAATTATAGGGTAAACTTACCAGCATCGAATGTTACCTTACCAAAATCTGATATGAAGTTAGATTTGAATGAAGCTTTTCCATATTCAGATCTAGACTTTTGTTGATTTCATTAAACCTGATTTCAGCCTCACAGCTAAATACAACTTAATCTCTCAAATACCTAATATAAAATTGTGTTTGATCTAGCTTTTCCGAAACCAAATCTTGATTAAAACTAATCAAAACCTGAGTAGACTTGACATAGCTTCTTTACGTAATTCTGATCAAACCTTGGCAAAACTCACTTTCTTTAAATGGAACCTAACCCTCTTATATATTATTCAGCAGTACTCAGCCAAAACCAAGCTTTTGCCCAGATTTTAACTAAACTTGATTTCAACCTTACCTAAACTAACATGATCTAACCCAAAGTAAACTATGGTTTTACTTTAACTTTGGATCAGAGTAAACCCAACTTGTGTAACTA